AAGCTTTGTTGGGTCATCTGAAAGCCACCATTCAAGGTGCTTTCACTGCTTGTTCCCTCGTTGCCCTGCATGTACTTCGAGTAGTCTCTGAAGCTTTGTAGGGTCAATTGAAAGCCACCATTCAAGGTGCTTTCACTGCTTGTTCCCTCGCTGCCCTCCATGTACTTCGAGTAGTCTCCGAAGCTTTGTAGGGTCATCTGAAAGCCACCATTCAAGGTGCTTTCACTGCTTGTTCTCCTCTCGTATCTCCAAGTCCAGAAACAGCCAGCACAAAGCAATCACTATGGCAAAAGGCGTGGCATATAGGCCACTGGGGCACGCGAGTTGTTCTTATCTTCAGCACTAGCAATCTCGAGCCCTTCAAAAAGAAAGAAACAAACAAACAAAAAACAAATTGTAATGCATGGACTATGTTTGCAGGGTCGATGATGTTTTTGGACTATAGTGACTCTCTCTCTCTCTATATATATATAATATGACTATATGCTATATAGTCTAGACTACATAGACTACATTTACATCCAGAATATGCTCTTAAGCATCTTTCAATCTTCCAGTCTGGACAAAAACCGCCCCCCATGGCCTCCGACACGCCGGGCGTGCGACGCTTCCATGGCGCGGCGGGCGCCGACGGCGGGCCACGTCTGCTGCTCTTCGGAGATGCTCGGAATGGGAGGGGGCTCCCATCAGTGGAAAAAATAAACCCACATGTCACACGTAGAGTTTTGGACGGATTTCGGCATGGGATGCAGGCCATTCTTTCGGCCAGGGCCCTGGAACTCGAAATCTCTCTCTCTCTCTCTCTCTTTAAAGGAAGGAAGACTTGCTCAGAAGTTCTTGATGCTTTTGTTTTGGTTGAGTTTTTGAGAATGCACCTCACGAACATAAACTTCTTGGTCAACTTCGATGTCATCCTTTGCACTGGTTTCGTGCAATCTAGCTGCTAGCTTTCCTAGTCCTTTTCATCCAATATGGACCCAACAGACGATCTGTCAATCATCAACCACAGCTTGCCTCGCCCACAGGCCACCCGCCCACCACGGTCCACCCGCCGTCCGTTGCACGGTAGAGCCGAGGATTCGCTCACGGCATTTTCGCGCGATGACTTCATCAGCTATGGCACCAGCCTGGCCTCGGAGTGGACAGGATCGGTCACGGTGGATGTTTGTGGATTGTGCGGCTTGGAAGCGGCCGACATGGCGGAGGCCATGAACAAAAAGGTGGAGGACCGAGACGTTGTATTTGTTGAGCTTTTTGTTTTTCGCATTTGCATCATCTGCTGAGGAGATGAACAAGCTGAGTGGAACTTAGAAGTTCAGTTGGAAGTTTGTTTTGAATGTCAGAGAAACTTGTGGGGATTTGGCTAATGTTTGCACATAGCTTGACACACTTGGTCACTTAAGGGAAACAAAAGGTCTACGTGCAAGTTTCACAGGTGAAAGAAAAGATGCCTCTTGCACTTTTGAAAGAGAGGGCACATTCATGTTCGTACACACAGACAGCACGCCTTTAGGAGAGTGGGCGAGTAGAACAACCGTCGAAGAAACAACCTCAAGCATCCCCCCCAAATCAACTGTTTCCTCCCCAGGATGCTTGTGGTCAAGAGGGCCTGGGCTTGCGCCGCCTCCTGCGCCATGCGAAAGCGCAGCCGTACGACCTGGCGGGGCGCTTTCGGCGACGTCGTGAAACGCGGTTCACGCGAGCACGCCGGGGAGCGGTCGACCTGGACCTAGTTGGCCGCCGCCTTGGTGACCTGGTGACCTGGGCACCTTATTAAAAGCCACCTGCAGAATCGAGTTTTCTTTTCAAGTACAGTATCTATTGCTTGGAGTGAAGAACGTTTTACAGCAACAAGCCGGCCAAGTCAAGTAAACTCAACGCCGCCTGTGTACCAGGTGGTTCTGATGGCCGGCACCAACGACCTGGAGGATTCGCGCACCGCCGCGGCGCCCATCGCCACGTGCATCAAATGCCTCCACACTGCCTGTCACGTGGAGGGCATCCCCACCGTGGCGCTTTCAGTACCGCACAACCGGCTGGTCCACAGGCGCGCGGCGCCCGCGCGGGAGAAGCGAAGAAGCGAAGGGGGATTGAGGGAGGGGTCATGAAGAGGAGTGGATCTGGATGGGATGAGGGGTGTTTTTAAATCATTGAAGGATGAGGGGTGTTCTTTTTTGGTTTGTTCTTATGGTTCTGACAGCTCTAAGGCTCTCACCAGGTGATTTTGGTCATGGAGTAGATCAGTGCTTGTGCTTTTGATGCTACAAGCCGCCAAGATGGTCATCTCTATACGGAGACCACTCATCCAGCTGCCATCCACGTCACCTTGATGCGTTGGCACACGCGTGTGACGCGTGGCCGAGCCAGCCCCCGTTGGACGCCTGTTGGTTTTTTTGAGGCAGTTGAAGAAGAACACTTACAAAGAAAGATGGACGCGTGCAGCTTGGACCGTTTCGGAAAGCGGGGCGTTTCGGAAGTGTCGACCGGGGGGGGTTTTGAGTCCCATCCGGCCGTGGATCGACTCCAAGGGACCCCAACCTGCTTCCTCCGTTTGGAAGCGGGCACCCCCGTCGAACGTGACTGGCTGGGACATCGAGCTGAATTCTTTTGAGATTGAGAGAGGCATTGAGAAGCGTGTGGATGGCATCGTGCTTGAAACGTTGAGATGCTTTTGAATGGTGTCCTCACATGTTGGGACTCATGTTGGGGAATGACTGTAAGAGTGGGTCAGTGCCATCTTCATCCAACTCATCACCCTTCCAACTGCTTCCTTGGAACGAACACCACGGTGGTGATGTTTTTGATCCCCACATAGCTCAAAGTGAGGCCGTTGTCCCATGCCCCGTTGTCCACGCCACCAACGGAGATCGGGTTCTTCCGATACGTTGGAACTCGCTCTTTCGCCCTCCGCGCGCCCCGCGCTGCACTGCTGCGCGCTCCGCTCCGCCCAGGTGAATGCCTTGCTCGAGGCGTGGAGCTTGGCGGACGGAAGGCACGAAGGCGTGATGGCCTACGTGGACGTGTCGCAGCTGGTGCCGCGCCCCGGCCGGCCGTTGGTTCCGTTTTCTCCGGTGACGGTCAGCCGGGCACGACGAGACCGGCTATACGAAGCAGGGGGTTTGAGATGGTTGGAGGGGTCAGGCCCGACCCTCTTCGAGGTCGGGTCCAAGGATTGTTCACATCGTGAATGGTTGCGAAAAGGACATGGAATACGAAGCAGCTCTTCTTGGCTTCGCTCCCTGTGACATGGAACTGTTGAGTTTTAACCTTCCCGCTTCGCGAGCCGTTGCCTTTGCGCTAGCTACAGTCTCGCCCAGCAGTTGCGGTCTTCCACCTCTCCTGTCGCGAAAGTTCTTCTTGGACCCTTTTGAATCATTTGTTGGACCGGTTTTGGAGTTAGCTTTTTACAACTTCTTTTCCTTTTTTCTTCGCCCATCACCAGAAAAGCCTGGTTCTTCACCTTCATGAAGAACTGTTCACAGTCTCACCCTCACCTCACATGACGGGACCATCAGCTCAGGTGGTCCACGCCCAGTTTCTGGGATGAAGATGGTTTGCACTTCACCGCTGCTGGCGCCACGGCCCTGGGCCGTGCCCTGGCGCCGCGCCTCCTGGCGGCGCTGCGCGACGCCGCCGCGGCCGCACCGCGGCCGGTGCCACGGCCGCAGGCGCTGGCCGAAGCGATGCCCATGCGTTTGAAGGCGGGACGGAGCGGGTTGGTAGCTGGCAGCAGAGCGGCCAGTTCGCGGCCGCTTTCTAAGACCCTCATTTTCCGCCCAACTTTACTTTAGGCAGAACATTCTGTCCGTTTTTTCCAAAGAACGCCTAAGCACGGACAAAGGAATAGGCAGACATTTCTGCCCAAGAAGAGGTTCTAGGATGGTGTATAGGTATGTCAGCATGAGTCTTCGATCTGTCAGGGGTGGCTTTTTGGGAGTGGGTCCCGTGATGCTGGTGAATACCATGCCGGTCATGAGAATTCAATAGAAACCAACCATTTTTGGACCGAACAAGTGACTCAAGTGACCGCATGGACGATGGCATGGTGGAAGCGGCCCCAGCTCTCTCTGCCCAAAGAGGTGGACGCGTGTCCTGGTTCTCCCGGTGGTTCCGGCGACGTGGAGATGAAGGACGTGGGAAAGAGCTGGCTCTTCTATGGAGTGCCTTGGATGTCCGGTGAATGACGACATACGACATAGGAGTCGGAGTGGGAAGAGCTGTCAATATCTGTGAAAAAAAAAGAGGAAAACGAGAGGCAGAGGCCACCACCAAATCAGATCTTTCCTTTTCTGAGCTATACCAGGACCCACTGTCGGGGTGGTTCATGGACACGGAGCTATCAATAGACCCCCCTTAGGGTGTCCTGGTATGGCTCTATAGTTCTACTCCCCAGACTCCCCGGTGTCCCCCAAAAAAGCGATGAATTGGACCTGCCAACGGTCCGCGAAGCCTCCCTCCTCCTCTCGTCCGTCGTCCCAGGACAGCCTCACGGCCGGGTATCACGCCTTCGGCTGCCTCTTCGAGCCTTATGCTTTGGCTTTGGGAGAGGTCTTGCAGATGACGGAGCCGCATGAGCTGCCCCTTAGAAACACGAACTACTCGAAACAGAAAGAAACGAACCAAAAACGAAGGGGGGGAGAAAAACACGTGTAGAAAGGAGGTGCAACAATTGCTGCTCAACGATGCGTGTAGAAGGAGTCGAGGGATCCACCGGTTCTCGTTTTCGTTTGGCTTCTTTAGGCTTAGCTGAATGGACAGACAGTTGAGGTGTTTTCATTGGCTTACTTCGCTTTGGTTGGGCCATGTCCGATGACGCCCGCTTTCACATCGTTTCACTCCTCCAGCTGGTTTCAGAAGGAATGTTTCTCTTTGGCTGGCCATGAGTCATGAGTAGTATCATGAGTAGAGTGCTCCGATCGGTTTTTTTGTTTGGTTGCGTGGTCGAGTCTTGGCCGCCTTGAGTGCCTTGCATCCTCGTGAAAAAGGCGGATCGAGCCACTGAGGTGGGTTTGCGGCTTGAGTGGCCTAGCAGCCACCGAGTTGCTGGAGACCGGGGGAGAGCGGATGTTGGAGCGGATGGCGTGAGAAGAAGGACGTTCTTTGGAGCCCCCTGTTAGTTCTTTTTTTGGGGGGGGAATGCGTGTCCATGGTGGTTTTGGTTGGGCAACAAGGATTCCGTGCACTCTTCACTTTTTGGGGGGGACCATGGCACGGATGGTTTCGGATCCCCCGGTAGCGGCGGTCGCGCTCGACCGGCAGGAGCGGAAGAGTGCTCCCTTCATCTCCGACGCCGTGGGGCGCACGGGTCACGGCCTGGCAGCTCGGCTCCGATGCGACGGCGGAGACGGCGGAGACGGTGTCCAGGTGTCGAGGTGATGGGAGATCGTTTGAGGAAGGTGTGGGTGAGATGGGATTTGTGACCTGACCATCCATCTCTTTTTTGGGATTCTAGAAACATCTAGAAACCAGAGCCAAGCAGAAGCAATCTACCATCCACCCATCCATATAGCCCTTCCTGCTGCCGTGGTTGTTCCGCTGCGCCGTCTTCGCTCACCCGGCCGGTCTTGCTGGGCGGAGGTGAAACGATCTTCAAGGAAGCACCACTATATGTCACTATAGTGCTAAGGGGTTGCTAAGAAGCTATATTTTCTTTAACACACGAAAAGCTTCTGGTGACTACAGGTCGAAACGATTCCCACGGAAAGCGTCGGTCGCGCCGATGGCCGCGTTCGCCTCGCGGCGACGGAGGAGCGCTTGCTGTCGGAGAAGACCTTCGACTTGGCCTTCATCATGCTGGGCACCAACGACCTCACCGACTCCGAGGACCGACGGGTTTCGTCACGTCACCGTCCCGAGGAGTTCGGTCGGTGCCCGTGCTCCGGTGCGGCGGGCGAGAGGGCGGTGAGTAGTGGGATGGAGGAGGTTTGGAGGTTTGTCCCTAACTGATCGTCTCGATCATGATGTGAAAAGAATCACATGATCACACTGTACCTAGAACGTCCTACATGACCTCCTTTTTTGATCTGAATTTTGGGCCGTATTTGGGCGAGTTGATCCTCCAAAACAGGGGTCGCTCAGGTTCTAGGTAAGAGAGTATATGTATATATGGGTCCATGGGATCCAATGAGTGATACAATGTTGAGAGTCGATTTCCATCCATCCCAGCCAATGGCGTCCGATATATTTGGTATACATTGTACAAGTATACAGGAATGGGGGGCTGTCCATCAACCGTATGGTATATGCCATCCGAGTGTTGTGTGGAGTACTCGGATAGAAGCATCAGCGGTTTCGATCACCACCGATCTTTCGCGTCGACAGACCCGTGGCATGCGGAGCGTCTCAGATTTTCACACCGCAATCGTTCAGTATGCTCTGAGAGTCCAGTGATGACTCATAGTCCAGCCTTGACCCATTCTACACCTATGGTATTGGCGAATGGATTGACCACCAGGTGGGGTAGTTCATTTTCGTCAAGTCACGGAAGTTCTGGGATAGTGATGATTAGACTGAACCAGACTGCCGCCCCCCTTCCCTTCAAAAGGATGTCAGTCCATCCGCCGGGCGCCCAATCGACGCTGCGACGCTGTTCGTGGCACGGACGCGAGGATGAGGAGATCTTCTCGGCCATCAGGCAGATCCATGAGGAGAGGGGGTTTTGGGTCACCAGGAGACTGACATGGACTCCGCCTCATCCAAGGTACTTCTCTGAGAGGCCTCTTTGACCAAAGGAGTTTTGGTGTGGCTGAGTCCACAGGAGTATCGATGGATCATGGATCCAAACATGTTGGTTTTCATATGTTCTTATCAAACCCAGCTATAGGTGAACAACCAAAACCACCACAAAAACAACCAAAGAACCAAGCACCGCGCCGCCACCCTTCTGGCCCACGGACGAGGAGTGTCACCGATGTCAAGTGAAGACCGTGGCCCTCGGCGTTCCACCGAGCGGCGCCGCGGCGCGGCACCGGAGCGTGGGCGACAGCCGCGCGAAGGCGGAGTCGGGAAGCGGGGTGGGAAGCGCAGTGTGTCCGAGAAATGGGGGGGAGACCGGAGACCCCCAAATTGGCCGGGTTTTGAACACCTCACAGGTTGGGTTTCCAAGCCAGATGGTTTTCTGCCTCGTTTTTCGATCACTGCCTGGGCCCCTTTTCACTCCGCGGCAGCAGGTGAATCAACAGCTCCAAGCCTGGGCCTCCAGCAACTCCATGACGATCTTCGTGGACACAGGTATCAGCCGGATTGCATCGAAAGGAAGTCAGACACACATGTCCCCCTCAGCGTCTGAAGCAAAGGGAAGCAACCTCACTTCTTTCCATTCTGTTCCTTCAATTTCTTCCATTCCACTGAAGACGACGTGACGACGGACACGAACTGACACCGAAACCGAGCGTCAGGCGACTTGTTGCCCTGGGAGAAGGACAGTGAGCTCTGGGAACTGGATGGTCTTCACTTCTCGCGCCTGGGCTCGCAAACCCTCGGCCGCCGCCTGGCGGAGCACCTGGTGCCGCTCCTGCGCGAGCGCGAGCAGAGCGGCGGAGAGCCGAACCGGAAAAAGAAGCGAGCGGGGTCGGCGGCACGTGGCCGCCGCGGCTGCGGGGAGGCTGCCTGCGTCTGGAACTGTCCCCCTTGGGTGCTATATGTTTGTGGTTTTTGGTTGGAAAACCATCTGAGGTGCTTCTGCCAGATCCCCCACATGTTCTCCTGTAAGGGAACTAGTCTTATCATGTCTTATCCAATCTTTTTCGTCCATTTCAACAAGCCAACGAGGGATCCTTTTGGAGCATAAGAGTTCTTGGCTGTTTGGCGGTTTAACGCCTCCATCCATGCTCCAGGATGGCATGAAGGCGGTGGTGGGAGAGCAGATGAATTGGAAGACCATTGGTGGCTCGGACATCGGGAAAATCCCTGGCATGGAACTGGGGGGCGCACATTTGAGGGGGTTCAGGGGACAAGGGGTTCTACTATAGGACTCGCCAGGTGTCGTTTTTTTTTTTTTCACAGAGTTCTGGTGGCTGGTGGTGGGTGAATTTAAAGTTCCTGCGTATTTTTGATGCTCCGACAGGCATTTGTTGCATACTTGTGGAATGTGTGTGATCTTGTCAATTGTTAAGCTCCTTTACCAACAAGTCTGAAGATTAGGGTTGGATGCTCCAATGGCAGACATCTGAGGCAAAGTCCTTCGTGTCAAGGATACCTTGACCAAGGCGGGCCAACTTCGCAGCATTCGCTGCATTGTGTCTCAGAATCTCTGGCTAGCCTGTGCAAAGCTTGAATGGAAAATGGAAGATCTCAGCCCTCCTCAATAACCATCCTGCTGATTCTATAGTCCTGCTCGCCTTTCCGACTGCACTAACTAGATACCATCCAGTCCAGTCTTCTCCAACCCATTTCCTCTGTTCGGCGTCCCCCCCGGACCCTGGGGCCCTGGGGTCCCCTGAAAGAGCCAGACCAGCTGGGATCCACTGCCTCGGCCGCACTCCGTCAGGAGGTGGACTACCGCGCCTTCCTGGGCCGCTTCCGCGTCACCGTGGTGGGCGGCCCGGCCGGGGGGCAACGCTGGGCCGAGGAGAGACGGAGGGGAAAGGGATGGGTTGGAGTGGGTTGGAGGGCTTCCGAAGCTGAGGAAGAGCTGGTGTATTAGTTCATCTGATATGGCTGGTGATATCTTTTGATCGACTAGAGATCCGAGATGTACTACATGACAGTTTTCAATGTTTGCCATAGCACCAGATGGCTGGATTACATCACGCATTCCTCCGGTGGTTGAGGGGAAACCCGAATCTTCCGAACATGAGAAGAACCAGAAGAGCTCCAGAACACCCTGGAGGTGTGAAATGAGACTTGGAGAGCCTCCAACGTCTTCCTTGGGAGGAGCTGCTGGGACGTTTCTATGGGCGGTTGCTGGCGCTCAAGGGCGACGCCGGCTCGCTGGAGGAGCGATCCACGCACCGCGCCGCGCGGTCGGTGAGAGTTCGGAAGCGCAGAGTTCTGTGGTGTAACCATCTTCGCTTCGTTGGCATTGCGGTTGATCACTTGTCTGGCCAAAGATGATGATTTTTCTGAAGAGGTGTGCCAAAACGATTCGGAGACCCAAGGTAAAACTGCTTCTTTTTGCCGCTCTTCGTTGTTCACCGCCCCTCTCCCAGGAGCTGGAAGGCTTCTTAGGCGGCGATGACGGACAGGCCAGGCTGGGGGGGGGAAGGTGAGGCCAGACCCAGGAACTTTTCGAAGAAATATCGGAGCTCGGAGCTTTGATTTGTCAAGCTCGATGGAACTTCTTCATGGAAAAGGGCCAGTTGCGAAACGACATCGAACGACATGAAACGGACGTGTGATGTACCCTTCAGCTGCTGACCTGAAAGGTGAGTGCCAACGATGCGCTGAAAGCCTTCCAGTGGGTGCTGGGGAATTATATCACAGAGGTGCGGGAAACACCTGTCGAAACTCGTGAAACTTGTGAAAGCCCAGCATTCGGATGGATCTGATGGCAGGATGAAGTGGACCTGGTTAAAACCTGGTTGGAACATGGTTGACCTGGTTAAAACCTGGTTGGTCTTCGAGTCCGGCGCGTCAGGAGCAAACCAAGGCCTTGCTCCGCACCCTGGCAGCCCACGCCCTGCCGGAGAACCGCAACGGGGGGAGTTCGGCGGAGTCCGAAGAGTTGTTGAGCCATTCCTGGCGTCGATGCTGCTCCCAAAAGGTTTTGGGCACAGCTTCTGGCAGAGCAGAAGAGTTGTTTCTTTCTTCGAACCAGCATCGGTTCTGTGGCGCACACGCGCCTTCTTCTCGCGTTTCAGCTCTTCTCGCGCTTCTGCTTCTTCGGCTCTTCTTCGGCTCTCCTGCTCGCAGGATCCTTCTCCGGTGGGACGGCCCCTGGGAGTCTTCGAGTTCCTGTCGCGGCTGGACATTTGCTTCCAGCAACAGGCCGGGGCACGGCCTTCGAACACGGCGTTCGAACACGGCGTTACGGCGCTGGTGACAGTGTCGCGTTGGGTCCCAACTCGTGGTCAGAAATCCATCGCTCGAAGTGTGTGTAACAACATCGTTTTCTGGTCAGAGGAAAGGCTGAAGACAGAGTCACACAATTGGGAAGTGCCAAGATCTTGATATGATACACATTGCCAAGATCTGTACCCTGGGAGTCAAAGACTATAAAAAGAATGGTCTTTAGGGGACCTGAAAGGGAACTTCCTTTACTTCAGCCGGTCAAAATATAATCTTTGGACTTCTAGGGCATATATTGCTACATGTACGTGATTTTCGTTGTACCGGTAAGTGGCCGGATGGAATCCTTTGAACGCCATGAGCCACCAAAACTCCGTCTGAAGTCGGTCCTGCTCCTGCAGGCGAGTCTGAACTCGAAAGGCTCTGAGAAGCGATTGGAGAAGGCGGGGCGATCTGAGCCAAGTGTTGCTTTTGATCCTTCTATTTGAAGGCAATCTCAGGCCATGACCATCGTTCTCATCTCTAGCATCGTCATATTGTTTAACCACCATGTCATTCTGGTGTGAGTCACCAGCTGAACACGATCACCATGCTAAACACGTCTTCCAGATGGACCTCATCTCCACCTCCCTCCACCCTCCCTCTCCTTCCACACGATCTCCGATCTCCACACGGTCAGACACCACCTCCGTCCTGGTCGGTGAAGGCCTCCCCCTGGGCCCGCTCGGTCCTGGGCCGCCTGGGGCGTCTGCTGTGGATGGAGGACGCCGAGGGCTCACCAAAGGCGCGCGAAGCGATGAGCGCGCGAAGCGTTGTGCGGTAAAGGATGGGGTGTGGAGGGGTGAAGATAGTTCAGGGTTTTGGCCCAGTTTGCCTAGTGAGCGATGTTCATGGACTCGCGCATCACACGTTTGGTAAGGTTTGGGGGAACCAGTCAGACTGGCAGGCTTTTACACGAATCTGGGAATGAGGAACAAGCTGAACAAGCGGATGAAACTCATCGGTTGGTTCATGTAGACACATCAATATTACGTGGTGAGAACCAGCAAGTGAATGATGAACCAACAAGTGAATGAACGAACATGTGTAGAGACTCATTGGTTGGTTTGGTCCCCATTCCATGGTCATGAACTGCCCATCACACACAGTCTGCTCCGCCCATCACACAGACGAGCCAGGCGGCGTCTGCGCGGATGCTGCAGGTCTTCCGATACTTTGATAAGGAACCGAACGATCTGTTGGATCCGTTCGACGTGCCAAGAGAGGATGATGCGAATCACATCGTGATACGGACGTGATACCCATTGACCCAGTTGATATCATGAGAATTGGAAGAATCCACCGCAAAAGAGAGAGAGAGAGAGAGAGATTTGCATGGGATGATGACAATCCATCAGGGATCTAGGTTCCAAGACGCATCCGGTCAACTTTGGAAGGTGGACTTGGACGTGCGCCCTTTTCCGGCGACGCCGCCAGGACGGCGATGGGCTACTCCAGCGCGAGGAGTTTTCGCAGGCGCGAAGGAAGAAACCGTGTGAGCGACGCTGACGCTTTGCAGAACGGCCGGGAAGGACTTTTTGGAGAACCTGCCAAGTTTCTTTTTTTTTTTGATTTAACATGCTTGTGATTCATGTACACCTGGTGTGCTTGGGTGGTTCCTGATTTGGAGTCATACAAAATTTCAGTGCATGTGTGCCCAAATATGCCCAAATTAGAGCTTGGTTTTGGCCGATGTTTGAGTGAGGTTGAACTCGGTGTCGCAAGTTCGGTGGCCACACAAACCGCCTCCAGGCGGTCAAGCAGCTGCTGGCTGAATACAAAGAGGTGCCGAAAGTCATCCTTTCGTACCCATGCCAGCTTTTCTACGGTCAAGGAGGAGGCTTTTCACGCCCAATGGGAGGCTTTTCTTATACTAGTAGGATCTAGTATAGGTCTGGCGGTATGCTACGAGGTCAAGCCTCCTCCCATTCTGCCAATTTGATTGATGATGCTAGACTGAGCCAAAGAGGCATTCCCGCAGAGATCCCAAAACCGCACATCAGGACCTGCCAGAGATGTTGAAGGCCGGACTGCCAGCGAAAATACGTCACAACATACAAACTAAATGGTAAGTCAGTGAGTCAGTCGGCATATAGGATCATAACTTAATTAGTAAAGTTGTCATTTTATAACATCGATTTTTTGGAACATCAACTATTCAATGATTGGATCCCCATCCCAGTTGATGCCGCATGCCCTTTGAAAAGAAGCCGCTCGCTCGCCTCCCTGCGGGTTCCTCCGCGCCAGGCCGAGTCCGCCTCGGACGAGCGCATCGCCGAGCTGGTGGACTTGGTGGATATCTCGGGCGATGGCCTGGTGAACTACCTGGAGTCCCTGGGACGGCGAGAGGATGTGTGGGGAAGGCGAGAGGTGGATGTGTGGCCTGAGATGAGGTAGATTGAGGAGGGGGACGACGCGACGCGAGATGACGCGAGAGGGGAGGAGGGGTTGAACAGATCTATGGCGGTGCAGTGTGTGGACGTGAAACCTTATTGGTCCCTTTCTATTTTTGGTTGAAGCCATTTTTCTCATAACAAATTCATGCATTTCTCAATCCAGGTACTGCGCCACAGCACCACTTCAGATTCTAGTTTTGAAGAAAATGACCTGCGCATGACGCGAATCTGCTGAGGTTCTTGCACGCCTTCCAGCCCGTGGATAGGATCGAGACCCGTCGCGGCCGTCGCGGCCTTTTCGGCCGAATCCGTGCCGTTAGCGAGAACGGTTGGGCTTTTGGGATGGTCGGTTGGGCGTTTCAAGGTTTTGGTTTTGTCATTCATCAAACATTCGAAAAAAACATGTGTACAGCATGGAGACATCCTTCTTTTTCAGGATTTCAATTGTTAATTAGACGTTTTCCACCGTTTCCCTGCACTGCGTTCATTCGCTTTTGACTCGGAACACCACTTGGAGAGGTATCCATCGGAGCTTTTGTGCATTTCATTTGGTCCAGGACGCCGGGCCGTGGCTTGCGCAAGGGCAGCCTAGGAGTGCCTAGCAGCCCTCACATGTTCTTAGTGAGAAAACGCAAGCTTCAGACCTGACACATGTGGAACACAATTGTGGGTGAATGGCGGATTTGGGGTCAAACGGCACTTGGAACCGTATAAGAACCACATTAAGAGCCGTCGAAGGCGAACCCCGCACGCCCCGATGCTTTTGCGAAGCTGTGGACTCTGGCAGATGGACGATCGGACAAGGTCTGGACCTCATGGAGCAGATTTGTACCACCATCTGGCGAAATAAGGCGCTCCCCGAAGCGGCTCCATGGGAGGGAAGAAGGAGGGATGAAGAAGCACCATGCTGAGAACGGCAGATTTGGTGGGTCTTTTTTTGGCCTAGAAACCCTGAGAGAAGCCAGCCAATTTGGAAGACTCCGCTTCGAACTCCACCAGGCCAGTCTTCTGGGTGCGTTTAAGTTCATCGAAGAGGACTGCGCGTTTCTGCACATGCTCCGAACTGCGCGACGCATGAACTGCGCCCCGCAACGCAGACCGCGCCCCGACTGAGCCTCCATAATTGGGACCTTCCAATACGCCGCATCCGCTGGTGTTTTTACGGGACGACCATCTGCTGGGACGTCCATCTGATGTGCATGTCAGTCTTGCAAAGCCGTGACACCCAAGCATCACGTCTTCGACATGTGCGTCCGTCTTCGCATCACGTCTTTGCTATCGCGTGTGCATCTGTCTTCGCCCGCCCCAAAGCGGAGACAAGTCTGTGATTGGATCAACGAAGCCATCAGCGGCCACAGCACAACACACCTGTCAGGTCCATGCGCCTTGCGACCTCTGGACCACCCACCCACCCACCGTCCGATGAAGGGCTTTGTCACGCAAGGCGTCGACACCGACGGGACGGCGAGGAGTGCGAGACAGGGCGGCTGAGCGGCCGCGTGTCCAAAGAGAACCTCAGGCGGGAGAGACGAGAATCGCCTGGGCGGTTTAAGAAGGCGACATACATTTGGCACGGTATTTGGCATAGTATTTGGATTTATACACGTATATTCTATATAATATCACATTTGTTATTGATGCTATTTAGTATTGCTTTTTGTATCATTTTCTTTTCTTTCCGCGTGAATGAGGACATGGTAGCTGGGAAAAAAGAAAAAATAACGGTGAAGAACATCCTTTGGATTGAGCAATTCAAGTCTGGCATTCTCGTGGAGGCGAGGTACCGGGGTTCGCTCTTGCTCCATGGTGGAGCGATCCTGCATCACGGTTCACACGCGCTTTCACAACCCGCTTCATGACCCAAAACCGGAAAACAAAAAGAGTGTACATACTGTACAAGTACAGGGTTGTTTTCTCTTCCCTCTTTGACGTGTTGTTTTTCCTTTCCTGGAACCAAAGACCCTGCAGCCCGGCAGCCCTGCAGCCCAGTGGAACCTGCCTCCAGCCCGCCCGCTCCCCTCGTCCTTTTCGGCCGGTTCTCCCCAGAACCGAGCCTAGGCGCACCTTGAAATCCCTGAACGCCTCCTTGGAAGCGAGTCAGGGAGGCCAGCGGTGGGAGCTGCCGACCCGGGATAAACCACCGGGCGAAAGCGTTTTTGAGCGCAAGCCCGCCGTTTTTGTGAGCGCGCGCGGTGAGCTTGCGCCAATCACAGGTGAGTGATCGTGGGGGCTCTGGCATACCACCGAGAAAACGCACGTAGTGAAAGACCGCACTCCACGGTCATCAGCTCTTTGGCCAAACTTCCTGGACCGAACCTCTGGTGTTCTTCCGCTTGACGAACGGCCGCATGCGGCAGTTGGCGTGCACGGAGCTCCTTTGACCAGCGATCAGATCGACATCATAGCAACTCAGCAGGAAGTATCAGTGTTGTGCGTTCATGCATGGGCATGGGCAGTATGGTCATGCTGCATGAGGATCTTTACAGCGCTTTAGATAGATTTTCTTTAAGACTAAGACTAAGACATCTTAGATACTTTTTCAGGCCAAAGTTCAAAAGGCAGTCCAGCCTTTATGTCGATATCTATAACACTGTGGACTTGGTCGGAGCTTGAACTTTCTACGACGAAGATTCGCTTCATGCAAGAGGAGATTCTCTTCTTCATCGCCATGTCGAAGGTGACATGGACGAAGGTGTGCTGCCTCCAGTTGACCTCCCTCCACTCGCCAGCGCCCAGGTTGACCATGCTGTCTTTGATACGAACAACTCCTTGGATTACGAGGCCAGGGCGCACTGGGCACTGTGGCACCAGCTACGATGACCTCAAGAGGTCGCCTTCGCCTTTGCGCTTCGCAAAGAGAACGTAAGGATGACTACGTACTACATACAACTCAGGAACGGCAGCGCCAAGCATGCATGGCTTTGAAACCCTTTCGTTACCCATCCCAGCTGTCCCCCACCCCCCCTTTCTTACTTTTTTGCTTTCAACACTTGGCCATTCTTCTCTCCCTCACTGAAGCCCAACGCAGATCTCTTGGCATCGCCCAGAGAAAACGCCTCGACCAAAAACGCCTCGACCAAGTTGGCGTCACCGTTGCGAGGCCTTCCTGGAGTCCTTCCAGATTGCCCGGGACCCAGACGAGACACGACACGCCCGCGGTCGCCCCAAGCGTCGAAGGCGACGAAGCTCGGTCGGTATACGTAACGTATAAGGGGGTCGGTGGAAAAACCGTGGGGAGAGAGGTCGTGGTTTTTCACGGTTTTTCCCCGTTGCTTTGCGAGGCGTTCGTTGCTTTGGTGAACTTTGGTGTTTGGTTTCAACGCATGCGGTTCGCGGCTCGCAGAAGGGGAAGTTCGCTTGGCGCTCCTTGTCGAAACGGCTGAGGTAGACATGGGTTCGACCAGGGAAGTGCAGGAACTTACAGCCAAGAAGGGCGCGCCTTCTGATCCGAGTGCGCCTTCTCAGATACGGAAGACACTTCACTAGCCGAGGCAAAACAGCTATGGATTTGGTTCTGTTTTCGTGGTTCATTTCTTCATTGGAACGCCTGCTTCACCTGCTTGGAGTTATCGAATAATCTCAGTGTCCCATGTGTTCCAACCTGGCTGCCGCGGCGTCCGAACTCGGCGCGCGACTCGCACGAAGCAGGTTCCCCCTGAGTGGCCTCGACTGCTTGAGTCGCGCGCCGAGTTGTGTCATGAACGCGAGAGAAGTGACCTGAGTCGCCAAGATATTTCGATTGTTTTGAAGCTGAGTCCCATGTTGCCAGAAAACATGCTCGATGGTTTACAAAAGAAATAGCATCCAACTCACTTCTTGTATTATAAATTATAAGACTTCTTTTTTGTAAATGCACTTAATAGTTAAAACACAGATGCCAACTGGTTTTGTTGACCTTTTGATGTGCATGGCCGGCACGATTGTGAGCGGCTGCGCCGCAGGTGTCAACATGGCACAGAATCGCCCGAGGATCGATTCAGATGGCTTTGTGTGGAGAAAAAGACTGGATTGAACGTGCAGATTACAGTGGTGAATTCCAAAGTCGGATCTGGACCTCTTCAGGTTTGTCGCCCAACACACTGTAGGACTCTGCGGTTGCTTCTCACATGCTTGTCGTGCTAGCTTGTCGAAGATGATGAGGTCAGCATGACCTTCCTGAGCCGTGTCGGTTCACAGGAAAAGGAGCACAGCTGTAAAGACCAAAAGACACTCTGGTGGCAGAAATTCCAGAAGTATCACTCCCAACAGGAATTATCAGCTGCTTAGAGGCTTTTCAGTCCATGTCCGAAGTCGGCGAGTTGGGCAATTGTGTGTCCGCCCTGGAACGCAACAACTCAAACTGCAGAATGGCCGTGCCACTGCCACAAAGGCGCTTCTCCTTGAAAGAAGCTGCCGGGTTCCAGGACATTGGATGAAACCGGGGCGCCGGAGCGGCAGGAAGGACCGCGCCGCCTGCACAATCGTGGATGGCCCCTGCGACAGGCCCTGGGAGACGGCCCGAGAACGGGACGGTGGGCGCGCGTGGGCGTGCGTGGGCGCGTGTGGCTGCGAGCACGCATGCTCATTTGAAGGGCTTGGGATTTGTTCGGCATTTTATGGACGTGCTTGTCTTCTGTTTGCTTTTTTTTACCTTGGTTTGCAGCCTGAGCTACTCAGCTAGAGTTGGATAGTGAAGACTAAGACGCAGAGAGAACAGGCTGAAGTAGACGTTTTGCCAGATCTTTGCGTCGCAACAACCCCCTTTTCAGCGGTTTTCACACGCAGGTCACAACAAATCCAGCTGCTGTGGGTGCACGCAGGTCACACCCTGAAGGCCTTGAAGGCCTGGCAGTTGTGACTTTGTGATCTTTTCTTTTGTGGCACTCGGCATGGTACAATCTCTTCGCATGGTCACCAGCTTTATGACCAATCCGGGGCGCAAGATGCTGGGGGCCAACTAACTGGTGGCGTCTTCTGAGCGTGCCAGGTCCTTTTTTGACGCCGAACAGAATGTGATTCACGAGACAATGATTTCTTTGTGTGCATCATAGAAAGATATCATCAAAGGATTCCGATTTGTATGTTGTTCTGAAGATGTCGTCGTCAGATCTGTGAGAAACTGCATGTGACAGCACAGAAATGCCGAAATTTCAGCCAAATTGTGAACCAATCGACCCACCAATCGACCCACCAATCGACCCCTGCACGAGTGGCCGCATGGGTTTGCCGAGGCCATGAGGCCGAAGCGCCGAATGGCCCAAGGCCACTTGCCGGGAAGTCGAACGAACGGTAGGGGCATAGGGCCCAGGGGTGTCCAGAACATCTACTCACTTGGGGACTTCAAGAAACCACTCCTTTGGAACTCAAGAGGAACTTTCTTCTGGTTTTAGCAAGTGCACTTGCAAGCAGACTTCTGTTTGCAGAATGGACGTGCCATTCGTTTTGGGTGATATGCAATCTATGCCACTGACCCCGCAGCCATCCCAAGGCTCAACTGTTTGCACATGTTTTTTGTCAAGTGGATCGTTGTGATACGTATATGGCTTTCCCTGTTCCCTGCTGCCGCCGTTCGACCATCCATTGCTGAGTGGGACGAAGCTCGAGCTGCACATGGGAAAGGGTACCGAAGGGTGACTCCATGATTCCAGGCATGCTCACCGCATGCTCACCAGATGGGTTGTTGGCAGTTGGTTTAAGAGCAGCACCTTAAGGTCCTTGAGGTCTTCTCAAACCAGACCGGCAGTTAGACCGGCAGTTGGTTTTCGCCTGAAGTGGGGCGTTGTCCAGACCGTCCAGCCATGCGCCGGTGGCGCCGGGCCCTCGACGCGACCGAGGATGGAAGGGCTTCCACCGCGAGCCGCCTGGTGCTGCACGGCGAGCAGGAAGAAGACGTCCGGGGCCCCAAAGGTCGGAGGGTTCCGGGGTGCCGGGGTTGCGACGAGCTGGTTGCAAGTGCCTCTTCGAAGACACCGAAGCCGAGTCAAAGTGGATAGAGCTCACAATCAACGTATCAAACAACGTGTCAAACGTATCTGTTAGCGTTTCCGTGTGTTGCTTAGGCCGTCTGCACGAATCAAGAGGAGGTGGCGCAGCACCTACGCGACCTGGGGCTTCATGAACCTGGAGATCCGTGCGGCTGGACGTCCGTCGAGTGCAAAGGCTGCGCAGTGGTGGAGCTGCGGACTTCCAAGGCGCAAGGAGACCTGATGTCCTTGAAGCACTTCCCCGACCTCCAACTTCTCGACCTCTCCGGAGGCAAAATCACCGGTGATCTGGAGCCACTTCGGCATCTCACCAGCCTTGAGGAGCTCGACCTCTCCCTGACCCAAGTGGTGGGCGGTCTAGAGCCACTTCGGTACCTCACTTCCCTCCACGAGCTCTTCCTCTCCCGGACACAACTTGTTGGCGGTCTGGACCCACTACAAAACCTCACCAGCCTTGAGGAGCTCTCCCTCTCCCAGACCCAACTGTTGGGCGGTCTGGAGCCACTTCGGCATCTCACCAACCTCCACTGGCTCTACCTCTCCCAGACCCAAGTTGCCGGTGGCCTGGACCCACTACAAAACCTCACCAGCCTCCGGCACCTCTACCTCTCCCAGACACAAGTGGTGGGCGGTCTGGAGCCACTTCGGCATCTCACCAGCCTCCAGTTGCTCTACCTCTCCCAGACACAAGTTGTTGGCGGTC